AAGCATAAGGCGCAATTAACAGCGATATATATATATATATACCACGCTACTAAGCAAGGTATGGTGCTCCAGTTCACAAGCAACAACAATGGAAGCCGAAAAAAGCCTCGTTTATGTCATCATTCTTGCTAGCTGGAGACAGTTGCCTGGATAGAAGCATTTTGGAGTCCTAAACTTTGATTCTCAGGTTGACACTGATTAGAATGGGAAGTTTGACACATTGATCAAATTAGTCTGGTACAACAGCAGTATAATCCAACTAAGTTCCTTAGAATTTAAGTGTATGTGTGGATATCTCGTGCCGTCAGAGTTGTGGTTGGTGCTCAACAGCTTTCTGATAACACTGAGGAGTCTGAAAAAGGCACTACTGAAACATGCAGTTAGGGTTGACCGGTTGTTCATTGTAGCCGTTGATTATTTACACGTAAAACACTACTCATAAGGTTGCTGAAAATTCTTTGGCAGCCCATGACCGTTTTCACCCTCTAGGGGTTCATCAGGTAGGCGAAGTCCCTGAGTTTTCGTCAACCTTATGTTCTACATGAAACCAAATTGCACGGTTGTTTGCTACTGGTCTCTCCTATTCCAAGCTCTGTACGGGCTGAAAATGGGGAGCTAGTTGGCACCATGTTGATCTAATAAATAAATCAATATCACAATGCGCGATTTATACATTTCAAACAGTTCACCTTCGAGCGCTACTCCGTGCATTAAGTATAGTAAACCTCAGGGTCACACCTACGGTCTTCTCAACTCACATCATTTTATCCCTTGCTTCCAACCTCACGTTTACCACCGATGGGGATGCAATTGTCCTCCTTGTGCTGATCAAACCCAGTTAAGTACAAACTGGGTCGAAAAAGAAATTTGTGTGTGGATCGCTATGTCATCCAAATTACTCATCAATGGATGCTTGCAGCCCACCCAGTTACCACCATTCACCAGAGGGCATTCGCACATGCGAAGGATAATCGAGGCTATTTCTGGCATTGTGCTTAACTTAACCTCTTCTCTGAAGGCTTGCTTTGACTTTCAGGTCATACCCAACTGAATCGGATTTATGTTTAACTTGATCTTTTCCATCCATCAAAACTGTTGGTAAAGAGGTGCACATAAAATCTGTCGCTGTGAAAAGTGAGCCGGGTCCATATGTAAAATTTCCAAAAGAGCATTCATATTACGGGCTTCCTTGCGGAGGCTCATTTGCTGAGATTCTGCAAGGAGCTATGGAATACCAATCAAGAGCAAAGACAACTACAATATGTTGACAGGGCATCTCTCCAATATATCAAACTCGAGGGGCGTACCAAACTTTAGAAATACATTCTAACGCATTACACCATGGCAGAAACAACGGAGGATTTATCATATAGGCCTTGGTATCAATAGGTTCTACCACTTGAGAATGAAAGTGTCACTTTTTGTGTTATAGAGTAAAGAGGGCTTTGACGTGTATTAAAATGAGAGATACAAGTAGCGTAACCAGAAAAATAGGCCCGAAGACGAAATCGAACAGCGGATCTCCGGCTCACCAGATATCGCTTCATACATTATTCCCACGTTCTATCAGGATTATTCATCTATACTTTGAGGCCTACAAATTTTTCCTACCTGGCAACTTGCCCTGATCATTTTTGCTACCGAGACAATAGTAAAGTACAATCCACTGTGATAGTCACATTAGGGTCTCACTAATGACACTGGCAGATATAAACGTTTATTCCACTGAGGAGAGACATGATGAATAAACTGTGAAGTTCCCATGAATACTCGCGACTGAGATCCATCGCCGTCCTCGGTAGTTCAGCCAGTAGAGGAAAGTCTGATAAGCGGGAGCTTGGCCCTCCCAGTTAGTCCCTGCTTGCGTCTTTTCCCGTACATACCTTCATTATCACTCGTAACTTGCATATAATTTTTATATTTTGTGAATATATGGTGTTTCATTGTTGGGATTAGCCAACAGATGAAATCACCAGGCACTTGTCTGCGACGGACTGACGGAGAGACAAAAATATCGTATGATGGTTCGATATGCGGTAAATTAGCGGCGTCAGATCAGAACCTCAAAAATTGATGGTGACGAATTATTCGCAATGTTTGAATCGTAAAAGTCGCATAACCTAGTGTCCGTAAAGGCCATTGTAATGCATCTTCCAGCCAATGGTCCATGACAACAAGCATTGAGTGAATATTGTTGTAACCAATGTAAATCCTAAATATACAATCTTACCACGGTTCAGACTACATCGTGCATCGTTATAATAGCCATCAGCATGGTGGAAAGTAGGTCGACATTTGATGTTACATACCGATACCACAATGTGGGGCAGTTCATGCGATCTCAAACATACCGATTATTCCACAGACTGAATCCTCTTGTTAATGTCAGGGTATCCCCACAATGTAGTCCCCTACAAAAAACATGATGCTTTTGCATTCGTAAAATCAACCTTTTCAAGATAGCACTTAAGGGTAAGGTAATTTTGCTGCAGTTTTTGTGAAAGATTTTGGTGAATTACTCTCAGACGTGGGCCTACTATCCTTCATTATTTCTAGCCCAAGTCACACAAGAAACATCGACAGCAGGAGCTGGCCGCATACAGACTCTCCGGCGTGACCCCAATGTGCCTACTGCAGGTGGGTTAACATTTTCGTAAACAATATTTTTGTAAAAAAAACCGCACATCGCCCACCAAAGGGGTAAAGTACCGTGGCTGACTTAGAGCAACCACAATCAGACCCTACTAGTTTTTAACTAAACTGAAATCCATTTATAGTGACCACCCTTCACATGTGACTAATTCTGACTGATCTCGCCTGATTCTCTTCATAAACCTTAAGAACCCAGTAAGTCCCCTTTCGCTTCCCCATTCACATTTCTGCTGTTGACAAAGCCTAGAAGGCCCGGTCCAAACTCGGCTAGGATAGTTTAAACAGACTGAGCAATGTGGTGTTTAATGTGGAACGTGTAAATTTCAACTGATTGTAGAAATCGATGGCAAATGAAACATCGGATTATAACATCATACCTGTGTTTTAACTTTAAACTTTCCATTCATTTCTTCTGCCCTAAGATTAAAACAATAAACGTGGATTTTATGGCGGCAACCGCTGAGTTCACTAAAGAGCAACAGTGCATGACAATCCACCATAGAAGTCACACCTCTCGGGGGGATCCATTTTGGTCAGGTTTGACAAAATACCCTGTGACGGAGGGGTTGTAAGGTATATAGTCCTGGTCTCCTAAGCCAGGAAGATCCCACCATTAGCAGGAGATTTCAAGTGGTCTCTCCAAAACAGCGAGATCGTACTGAAAAAAGTGTACGAGACAATGCTGAATGAATTTGTTGCTGGCCTGTATTGAAAGGTTTGAGAGATGGTCGAACCAGTGCAGCAATGCAGTTTGAGTCGTTTGTTCATTAAAATTTCAAAAGTCCGGCGTCTAGTCCTTTTAACGTAAATGAACTAAGACGGGACCGTGATTTAGAAACGAGATGAACCATTGTTTCATCGTACTTGCCAAATAGGAATCGGCCAAATGAAGAAAACCTTCATAGGTATGACGTGTCGCGACATTAGTTTTTTTTCACTGTAGCTCTCTCCGTCGAAAAGTCCATATAACCATACAGGAGGTAATTCCTAATTGGCTAGTTGGCTGATCGACCGTCGAAAAGCAGTATCCTATTATCAATGACATGGACCACTGGCATAGATTTACGGGCCAAATGTCAAACAAATCACGCGAATCCTCACGCATGAAGGCAAAAATTAAGCTTTGCCAGTGCGCTTGACAAATCATTTTCCTGCCATTAGAAAGATTATTCGTTTTTCGAGGCTCCTAGCCGCCAAGTAGTCACTGTGGAAAACGTCATTAACTGGTAAACTTTTGCAGAAGTGCTTCTTGTTACCGCTTTAATGAACTTTTTGAGCCAGGGAGAATACTCTGTATGTTGGAAGAATGGTCATGGTTGCAAGTTCCCAATATGCTTGAGTCGAATAAGTTCATTCGGAATCCGATCGTCGGATCGAAATGTCACGACACGAACAGGTCTTAGTTCGAAGCACTTGCTAACCACCAGTTGCTTGATTTTACTGTCATTGAGACTTATAGGTCAACTACAAGAATGAAAACCTGTTAAGCTGAAATTGAGACAAATTTGTTTGAATAAATATACGAAATCAGTGTGTACTGGGTTAGTGAAAACAACTTATTTCCTGCTCTTTGCAATTTTCCGCCAGTTATATTCCTCCTACATACTACTAATAAGTAGAAATCGATGAATAGTTTATAATTTTGTAATTCATTACTCATAAGGTTGCTAAAAATTTGTCGACAGCCCACTACCGGTTTCGCCCTTCTTGGGGCTCATCAGGTAGGCGTAGTCTCCGAGATTCTGTCAACCTCATGATCTACTTGAACCCAAATAGCGAAATACACTCATTTGCAAACTAATTTGGTTTTAGAGAGACTCACCTGGAACCCAGCTGCGTCTCTCATTTGTGATGTTTCCAGTTTATAATTTTGTCTTTAAAAGACAGTGGTAAAATAAACGACTGCCTATTCAAGTGGTGATCTGATATACGTAAATTCTCTGTTGTCGAGCGAAATTAATATTGTCCCGATTTCAGAAGACTAATTTTCTTTGCTCTTCATATTCCATAAGTTTCATGTACCACTGAGGTCTGTTACATAAAACGCTGAATTTCGTCCTTGTATGGAACCCATAAAGTGCGTTTCTAGTAGTGTACAACACGAACTCAGAATGGACCTGCTTAAGCCCGTTTCAATAAGCATCAGTAGGCAGGTGATAAGTACCGGGTTCTGACTGTTCTGTTCCTCTATCCAACATAAACGTAGCTGCGTGGTGATCAGAAGAGGAATTATAATCCGCTCAACTCCAAACACCTATAAGAAGCCAGCGGTCTTGCTGTTTTGAAACAGCCATTCCTGAATCTGGCCATCATTTTGCACCGTAATAAACCAGTTTGCAATAAAATCTAATTCAAATGGACAGGTACCGCTTTTTATTCAATGAATATTGACTATACAACACAAACCAAAATTAGTAACCTGTTGTGCGCCAACCTTTTCCGCCAGTGGCGTGTGGTCATATCACTTCATTTTTATGATACGCACTGTTACAAGGTTTTGTGAATGTCCCAACCTACTGGCTGATATGCATCGCCTTGGTTCGTATCGTTTTTAGCTTGTTGTTAACCGACAGTTACTAGTACAGGCACTTATCGTCTATGAAATACGACAGTTATTTGGGTGTAGTTGTCTACCGGTTACCCGTGTGTTTTGTTGTCCCGACAACGGGCTTCAAACTTCTGGTAAACAGCCACCGCTTCGGACTGAGTCCCGGTCCTTGTTTGATATCGTTTGTGTGGTGACAGTTGCGATAACCAAGAAAAGTCCCTTTCGGTAGATCGAAGTCGCTGGTTCCTAAACAGTAAACTCCCGTTTTAGCATCCTAGAAACACACGGACTTGTGTTTCAGTTTTTACTCTTGAGTATGGGACTCCCGTTACTTGTGAATGTAAATAGTAGTAAAACTGCAGCGTTTGTCTTTAAACCCAGTTATCCTATGCCAAAAAGTAGCTTATTCCATTGAACTGCGGGAAAACCAAGGTGTTTGTTTTCGCTTATTCACTGCTTACGTATTCGCGGCATCATAAATGCTTTACTTCCTCCTGGGTCAAATGGACAAGTTTAAACTAAGGCTGGACTAGACCGACCGTCTTCGCATTTCAAATATGGGACACGAATCGTTTGAATCATTTCGTAAGTCGGCCGAACTATTTGAATAAGACCATTTCTGTGTTTCGACGATGACTTTCATTGCCCATAAATAAAAATGCATTTCACCTTGCTACTGTGGCTGGTGGTTCCCATCTTTTTTCAACGTGATAATTTCTCCTCCGTAGACCCGAGCAGCAGGTACGTCAGTCAGGCCTAGGGTATTGGCTAACCAAAAACCACCACACAAATCTGCGGGCTCGCGACTGCTACCGCTGTTTTTGAACAACTTTGAACACACACCATTGGTAGGTCAACCAGCAAGCTCCTCGACTACAGCTCCGAATACAAGGTGCGCGTATCGTAGCTGAGCGCAAGGTAATCCCTCTACCCAGACGCCACCGGAGACAACCTAACTGATAATGTGTTATGCCGGTTCTTTTGTAGCGCTCTGCATTCCGACCGATGCTTGAATAATTGACTGGATATCTGTAAACGCAGATTGTGTGGTGTTCAAGTTTCCGCTAGTATAGAAACACACTGGTCGAACTACTGAACACAACTATATGAAGTGCTGATTCATCAAAAAATACCTTCTATCGAAAACTTGTTACCATACTGTCCACGGTAAGAAGTTAAGTTATAGTCATTACAGTAGAAGCTTTCAATGCCCCTCAGCTTGTCAGAGCCAAACATTGGTGTAATATTTATTTTGAACGCAAAAGGCACCGATAATGGTGACCGTATTCAGAAACATTGTATTGATCAACAGCTGTTTCTAAGTAGCACTGGGTTCATACTCACTGGGTGCCCCCATTTCGTCTAGACGGTGCTGAGCAGTTTTGAAATCAACTAATAAAATCCACATCAGCCACTAATTACGCACTCAAAGGCTCGACTGCCGATGGTTCTGGAATGTTCAGGCTGAATCAGACCATGTTCTCGTTCGGTCACGCTGACCAGTCCGAGAAACGGGCTTCCCAATCAATCCTAAAAACTGTGGGCCGCAAACCAAAGGAACATACCAAAGTTTAGTATGAAGATGGCCTTCTCGGAAACATTGACCGAAACTGTAGTGATTTGACCACAATTATACGTGAAGCCCAAAACTACCTTCGGTATTCTTGATTGTGAACATAGACCAGAACTGTCATTGTCACTCCTTAATGTGAATTCTGTCTAAGGGCATGATCGATTAGACGTCAGTAAGAAAGAACGGATGCAACCAGAAATTTCGAGGTACTGAGTAGATCAGTGCGGTCAGGAGTGCGCGGAAGCTGGGCCGAATATTTTCAGCAACAGTTTATTTGGTCGCGCATCATTGCGCCTGTGTTTACCATTCGACCCGCTCATTTTTAGTCGCTGTTTATGGGTTTGACCCATCCTCCGTTGGCTTTTGAAGTTCGTGTCTTGAAGTGACATCGGGCTGCTTGGCAAGATGAGTTACATCGACGTGAGGTGAGGCTGTACGTTTGTGTCACATTGAACAGGTTTTTCCTACTTATTTAAGAAAACGAACGTGTTCCAGAGAGTGAGGGCCAAGCACTGGTCGTATCTATATTCATGATATCGCGTTTTCCCCAGACTTTGAAGAAGCTTTCCAATTTGTGGACAGATTGGCTCTTTGAAATGCGACCGAGCAATGTGCAATGCCCTTGTTGTTTGGCAACGATCCTCACACGCTCTATTCTCATAATTCCGATCGGTTTGTGTCTCATAGATTATCTGAAATATCCTTCATAACTAATTGAGTCTATCGGGTTGTTCTGTTGCTTGTCTTTGCTTAACTTCGTCGTGAATGCCATCTTGAAGTGTGCACTCCAAAGGACCGGACATACGGGTACCGAAATCATTTCTGAATAAAGGTCAGTGAGCTTGGATTGCTCAGTGGCATTGTTTTGACGATTACTCTTGATTTATCCACAAAAATCACTCCAACAGGATATCAGAGGTTTCTCATGTTTCCACATGCGTTATTCATCCTAAAAGTGCCTGGTCCCTCTTCGTGATTTTCGATCATTTTGTGTCCTTCTGAATCTTCAGAATGAGGAAAACGTTCGTTGGTCAGTTTACATTTCTGGCAGCTGCTGGGGAAGTAACCATACAAAAACGGGGGCGGATGTTCACATAATCAAGACGCCAGCAACATTGGCCAGCCATATCACCCATGGCGTCAAAAACGAATTGCCCTGAACTATGTCCTTCTGAATCTTCAGAATGAGGAAAACGTTCGTTGGTCAGTTTACATTTCTGGCAGCTGCTGGGGAAGTAACCATACAAAAACGGGGGCGGATGTTCACATAATCAAGACGCCAGCAACATTGGCCAGCCATATCACCCATGGCGTCAAAAAACGAATTGCCCTGAAGCTAACAAAATGACTACACAAAGCACCTGTAGGATCAGTCTTAATTTATGGCTGAGAACTTTGGACCCTCCTATAAGAAGATCTACGTAACCTAGCAAGAGTTGGCTCTACCCAAATAAATAGCCAGTAAGCGGGGACTTGAAAAAGACTCAAAATCATTAGAGCAGCAAATAGAGTTGCGCAGGCTATGGTGTTGTGGCATGGGCGTCGCATTTCCAGTCAACATCTATCAAAGAACGCGTTGTTTTCAGTTACCTGGCGACAGGCTGTCGGCAAATAGGCCATCACCTGGCGACTTGAAATAAAATTGGCTATGATCGCTGTAGACGCTGTGGGATCTTTGTGTCTTTATGGCTGGGATTCACGTGATCCTGCTTGTAAATGACTGAAAACCCTGAAAGAACTGCGCGTAACCCAGTCCAGTGGTGCACACGCTGTCGGTTCCTAACCGGATTGCCTAGTTACAGTTGGCATGCCACTATGTGCTAGGCTTATATCGAGTAAAGTTCTCAAATGGCACTGGGTCATTTCCACTAATATCAACTTATTTTGGTGCATTTATATTAATGTTGTCCAAAAGTGAAGGCGACTTATTCTTTTTTGTCTTGTTAAGGATATGGGACTTCTTGCACCCCTTCCTAAGGCTTTATTTCCTTATTTTCTTGCATCATTTGGGCACCAGTATGCATTGCTGGTGAAATGTTGTCCATGATGTTGATAGTGTTGCTGAGGCCACGAGAGGGTGCTGTTTAGGTAAAGATTATGTTGACATGATAGACGTTAGTGGATGTATCTCTTGCTCCAGTCTTAACCCATTTGCTTTCAGAAAATAACTGTTTGCGTGATCATCCCTGTGAATGTAATCTCGCAGTTCTGCTTTGATAAACCGCTGTTCCATGGGAAGGAATCTATAGATTCCTTAAAACAGCCTTCGGTTCATGGGGATTTATTGCTAGAAGCTCTCAATATTTCAATGAAAATGATGAGAACCGGTTAGGTAGCTTCTCGGATGTCTCCACTTCTGGATGAACCATCCTTTGATGCGTACAAGAGCACTTCAAAATCAAATTCTCGGATTCCGGTCTGACTACTCTTAACCGTTGGTTAGCAGAAGGCCATACAACTGGACTAGCCTTTTGCCGAAAACGAGGGTTAAACCTCGTTACCAACCTAATAATCAGCCTAGATTTGAGAAGCCATCATTTGTACGCTGGAAACATGAACGGTTATAAGATGTTTGGGGCGGAATCTACCTGTTTCGTCACAACGATGCGAACTCGGCCTAATTATGCCAACAGGTAGAATCCACATCATGGTCTCTGTGACAGGATACGCCGTGAGGTGACGTAACAACCCAACTTAACATTTCAAGACCAAAATTATTAATCTTACTGATTTCCTCCCACATTTTTATTGTATTTTCGACAGCACCTCGGAACGTTCCAAGGATAGATACACAGTCCACACAGTCAACACACTATCCCCTATTCAGATATGGCCGGATCGGTCGCTGTAAGTAAGCGCCATTTTGTATATGACTGTCATCCCCTAACAGAAAAGAGGAAACCTTTTGATGATGTTTTTCATTAAACTTGTAATCAGAGCCCTTTTACTGCGAAGGAAAAAGTCAGACCATACCGTTTCCCTTATCGAGGAACTCGTCCTTCGAAGTAGAATTTCATTGTGATGAAAACGTGTGAATACACTCAAAAAAACTTCTGACAAAATCTCAGATTTTAGATCGAAATGGGCCACCACCTAGAAAAGCAAATTTAACTTGCACATTTATTAACGGTAACTAATTCACAGGTGCGCTATTTTAATTAAAAGTTTATTGTCGGGTGGGTCGGTGGTCGAGACAACCAATGACTCATCACTACACTCTACTACGCGTCCTAACAACACACTGATGATGTCATCTCGATTGTTGGTGAAGCGTATGCAATCAAATTGCCCAGCTCAGTGGACAAACCAACAACTCTCTACGCTGCTAGAGCTGCTAAGATTCTTCTCAACAGCCAGTCTTTCTATTTAATTCAAGTTACACTGCCTATCAGTGGGATATTTCCGAATAAATGATGTCTTTTCCCTTTAACAAACATTCGCTATACTAGGGCGTCTTTGATGCAGAGTGACCGCCTGTGATGCGCGACGAAATAAGTTTCCAGGTTTCTCTTGTTGTATGAACCAGACAGATAATTCTGCATACATTCCAGCTGCTTATGAGTCTTCCCTGTTTTTCATGTTTTATTACAGTATGATTTATGCTAAGCCTTCTAGTAGCGTCAGTAGATTACACCATTCCCGAACCACTTGACTTTGAAAGTTATAAGGCTACATCTTCGAAGATCAACCATGTAGTCGGATTACTAGCCAACCTGACATCCCCAAGAGTGAATTAGCGATCATTTTGAAACTTCTTCCTGCTTCCTGTTGTCGTGTTATTACTGGCAGAAATCTTCAAGTTTCTTTCAAAAGTCAAATAGGAGACTATGAAAACCTCCTTTATTTGACGATGATTGGAATGGATATTGTGAGACAGCTACATTTTCCCCAGTGCACTTGTTTCTTCTGCTAAATTAGTGCGCTGATCCTTGCCAGTGGCGAGATTAGTAAAGGAGCACACATCCATCTTCTCCTTCCTTACTGCATTCTCACCAGAAGATTGTTCTCATGGTAAAAGAAATCTGCTTCGGTTAAGGAGCGATTGTTTCTTCGTCCAATTCACAGACAACTTACTCAGCCACCCGCGTTCTCATCAACAATAGTCGAGCACCGGTGGATGAAGATCCTGCCACTCGCAAGTTTGAGGCACTCTTCATGCACTCGATTCTTTGCTCTCAGTCAAATGGTTCTTCTGCTTTAGGGTAGCGGAAATTATGTCATGGTATGCTGGTTCTTGCCAGCTGATTGGCTTCCACATCGTAAGCCAAGGTAGTACATGCTGAATGGACGACTTGACATTAGTTAGACCCGAGTAGTAAATACTAAGGAAGATTCATAAAAATAGAGTAATACAATTTTACCATTTATTTGATGATGAGAGTGGAAAACGTGTGTAACGGCTCAGTAAGGAAAAGAAAACTGTCTGAAATTTGTGCTCATTGTTGCAGTCAAAGTGGCGGTCGTTTGGTTCACAGGACTCGATTTGACTCTTCGGTTGTGAGTAGCCATAATAGAGTCAACTGTGGATCGATATCTTTCTCTGACCGCCAAGCACGAAAGTGGTTATCTGTGACATAAATTCATCACACACAGGAGGTATATATACTGAGCCACGTACATTAATACCATAAATTAGCAACCGCGGCTTCACGGGATACGTCTTAAATTTGAACAGTTGTTTCCCTACAGACAGACCACAACTGCAGTTCTGGAAAACTCCATGTCGCAGCACTTCACTAGAAACATCTCGTAAATATCTGATGTTTAGATATCATCCGCATTGACACAAAGTGACTGGAGACTATGGTAAAATTATAATCTGCCTAACTTCAATGAGCATAAGCTATCAATAAATATTATGGGATGAATAAGTGTTTCAACACCAGGAGCTGCTTACAGTATATACTCATCGTTTTACTTGTTCTGTCTTTCCGAAGAAACCTGATTTCTTGTCTTCGTTTGCCGCTCTGTTGACAGCTCCCTTTAGGAGTCCTTCGAGGCGTAAGAAACATCCACTAGGATCAATCCATGTCGCATCTCTTGGGCTTGGATACAGTGAGTCAGCCCCCTGTTCTTCATGACATATTTTGATGCTGTGTTTGTTAATCGTACAGTGGTCCCCCTCGATCAGTATAGGGTAGAAAAATTTGGATTTTGAAATGTCCTCGTAGTTGGACCATTCATGAAAAATACCAATGGAGTGCGAACAACTGAACTAAACTTGCGGCTTCAAAAGATATTCACTGATTCTTTCACTTTTCGCAGAATACAACCATTTCTACCCATCCAGCGGCTCTGTCCTGCATTCTCCAGGATCAAGTTTTAATCTACCAGCCCGGCTGAGAAGTTTCCAAATAGTGAGGCCTGTTGACTGTACCTCGAGAATGTCCGACACTCATCCTTCTTGCAAAGTTTCCTGAGATAAATTACTTTGATGTTTGTAGCTGTAAGTACACCAGCTGACTGAGGAAAGTGGAAACAATCCACGAACTCTCATGCCGGAAATTTCCATGTGCCTTTTGCGAATCATATCCTCCGAGAGGGCAAGCTTCTAGGCCACATGAGTATGGCTACTTTGTTTGTTTTGCTTGGACACAAAGCATTTCAGGGTTGGTTGGAAAGTCAAGTGAATGTCACATTTTATTTAGGTTTGTTCTGTTAAATACTAGAACATGTTAGGGACCCATTCTGTGATATTTAGACGCAGATGTTTTCAAAGATGGGTTCAGAGAGTTGAGCAGAAAAGACCGTTTCGCCCATCTGGATTTGATTCCCGTGAACATCAATAAACTGGCAGTCACAGTGATCCTCAGTGTACGTGCTATTTTGGGAACAGGGGGTTCAAGTAACCTTTGCACTATGTATAAGGCCAAAGAGCCTCAAAAATGGGAATTCAATTGTACTGCACGAGTGACTCTATTGTTTTCCGTGTAAGCCAGTTCAACAAATAAATCGTTAGTTTTTTTCAACTTGCTTACTCGGCTGGTTGTGTGGACAATTTGGTGCACTGTGATTTTGAAGACCAGGATTCGATTCCTTACAAGCGCTTTCAAATCGACCGCCGGTTTCGTCCGGGCGATTTGTTCACATAGTATTCACATACTGCGACAAAATACCGCACGAGAAGCTTAGCACCAGAATAAGTTGAACGATGCTAATCATCTTGAACCAAATAGCTGTTTTGCTATCAAAACATGATTCAACCAGTTTTTTCGTTTACTCTCTATTTCATATCACTATGATAACGTTACCAGGAGAATGGTGACTCGCTGAACCCAAATACGAAACAGAAAAACCGTAAAGTTGGAAGTTGCTTCAACAGTGGATGACAAATTTTGACTGCTGGCAAGTAGAAGGGAGCGAATTTACGATGTAGTTGGATTCTGGGACAATCTATAGGAGCTGTTGACGGCCGTGGAGGGTAGTTCATTCCAGTTTGTTTTGTGGCGGAAAGATTAATCACCGGACCACTCTATCACCATTCGATTTGTCAGACATACTATCCAACAAGAAGTGAACACACGAACCGCTGATATCGTACCACAGAAACGCCAAACTATGTCCCTGCCTGGATGTTTGACAGAAACAGAACCTCAAAAAGCATTTTTGCTTCTTAGACCCAAATGCGTTTGGACGATAACAAACTTCTGGGGAATCCATAAATGGTCATGAGCAACTTAAAGATGAACAAGAGAACACAATCGACTCACACTTTTGGCCATCTTCAAAAGAATTTAAGGGATGCATCACAAGTTTCTAGAGATTTTCTGGAACACTGGCACACTTTCCGAGAAACCACAGCCCCAACCCACTCTTGATGGTTTTGTCTGGCAATAAATTATTTTATGTTGAATTGGTCCACGTTAGATTGGCCTTTGATGAACCAACTGCCGGTCAGATAAGTGGACCAGGACAAAAGCTCACCGGGCCCATAAAAAGTCACATGGCAGCCCGAATACCATTCCGAAATTCACGTTTAGCTAGCTACGATGCAATGTGTATCGTTTATGGTCTACTATTGTACGTACGATACAGCAAAAGGCAGATACCGCCGGGATCATCTTTAGCCGGAACTGGTCAGTTTTTTTAAGGCTGACATATGGGGGTTGTCTGCAGTCAATTCTGTCACTAATAAGAACTTAAACAGGAAAACAGGTCCCAATGAATGCATGCAACTCACAACCAACTTCAAACAAAACTGATAGGATGCCTGTTCTAGCTTCCACCAAGACCTCTGAATATCTTGTGATATCAAAGAGATCTGCGAAACTCTACCAACTCCCTTATTCTCGTCCAGCTAAGCAGTAGTAGTGTAGTTGTATGGTAAAAAAACAGATTTTTTCACCTTTCAGTTCTTACCTGAATAGCATAAAGCATGTATAGCGGACTAGGACCTTATCAGCGTGTTCGGATAAATTAAGAAGCAAAGTAAACAATACAAAATCACAAAATCACAATAGGAAAGGAATGAGTAGTCAAATGGGGACTCACGAATGTGTAGGTCCAATAGTCCACTACACCGATCCAAATGCAGTAACTGGCTGTGAGAGGAAATATTCCCTTGTCGGAATTTCCCACAGATGGTTCCGCGTGCGTGATATATTCCACGGTAGGAAAACTATCCACGGCTAAAAAA